CTTAGCACCTAGGTAGTCAAATACCTAGGTTACAAGGTGTTGAACGAGAGAGGTTGCCTTAGGAACTCTGGGAGTGCTCTAGAATAGTTAGCTAACTGGGGACGGGATAACGGACTAGAGAGAGCTGTTTCCCCCGGCCTCGTTAGTTAACTGGGGGTGGAATAATGGACAAGATAGAGCTATTTCCTACACCCCCCGTTACACCGGCAGCCCTTGGGCCCGCCCCGGCAGCCCTTGGGCCCGCCCCGGCAGCCCTTGGGCCCGCCCCGGCAGCCCTTGGGCCCGCCCCGGCAGCCCTTGGGCCCGCCCCGGCAGCCCTTGGGCCCGCCCCGGCAGCCCTTGGGCCCGCCCCGGCAGCCCTTGGGCCCGCCCCGGCAGCCCTTGGACCCGCCCCGGCAGCCCTCGGGCCCGCCCCGGCAGCCCTTGGGCCCGCCCAGGCAGCCCTTGGGCCCGCCCCGGCAGCCCTTGGGCCCGCCCAGGCAGCCCTTGGGCCCGCCCAGGCAGCCCTTGGGCCCGCCCCGGCAGCTCCCAGTCTTTAATATGGCACTTTTGTGGGACCTTGGTATAAGCCTAACATGTATATATACACTGGCTGCCTGTCCCCCTTCACAATGATTTATTTTTACCTATTATTTTATCATTTAATTTAAACATTAAATAAAATAATTTATTTAATTATTATAGTAAGTACTTAATAATTTAATAATAAGTAGTAAATACATAAAAATGATTAAAAAGTACAGTTTAGTCATAGGAGATTCCTAGATTGGAATTTACTACCAAATTTCAATATATCCAAGTATTTTTAGTGTGAAATGCTGTTATTATATGCATAAATTGTTGTTTTAATAATATTACGTTTAACCACTTGGGCTGGACGGTAGAGCGACGGTCTTGTTTCCTACAGGTCCGAGTTCAATCCCCGACCGCCCAAGACGTTGGGCACCATTCCTTTCCCCCGTTCCATCCCAAATTCGTATCCTGATCCCTTCCGAGTGCTATATAGTCGTAATGGTTTGGCGCTTTCACTTGATAGTTCCCCCACCCCCCTGAATAATATTACGAGAGCAGTATTTACGGGATATTCATGCCCGTGCCACCTCTTGGGTGGCTTAATCTTCATCAATCGAGAGCAGTACGTCCTAACCAGACATTATATGATGATATCCTTAACAGTTGATAAATAAAAGTAATTGCGGAACTCAAGTTATCTAATACTTTTCATAAATGGTATAAAACCTTATCATAAGTCAAGGGATTTGTAGATCAGTGTTTAAGGGAATTCGGAAGTAATAATAATACAGCTGATGCCATCTGTCGGCAGACGAGAACACTATCAACTGGCTGGTCAACAGTGGCCATAAGATACAGCTTACGCCATCTGTTGACATCAATTTACACTTATAACAAATTACCCCACAAAATACAACTAACGCCATCTGTTGCTTTTCCAACGCACTATAAATAGCCGAACAGCAACCCATAAGGCGGGTTGTTGTGCTCGGGTAGGAGGTTCCAAGCTCCGCCCACAAGATTGTGTGGGGTGCATAAAAAATGGCATATCATTGGTAGACATTCTTTGTTGACATTCACCACAGCCAATCACAGGAAGGGATCAGCTAAAGGTGCCATCCACTTAATAAATCATCTTTATTCAGCACACCATCCTTGCTTATGACATTCTGCTTCAACTTTAATCTACCTAAAAAGTGAAATGTTAAGTATTTAAAAGTATTAATATAGTGATAATTAAATACTGCAGGATGTAACGAGTGTTACAGAAACATGGGCTGGCTACCTGACTTGTGACGTCATCAGTGGGAGTTGCCTCGCACAAATAATATCGGCGATACAATGCCTCCGTCCTCTTATTGGTCTACATTATTCAGTTAGATGGAAATTTCTGTCTTGTGTAAAACAGAAATTACTGGTCTTTTGTACAACAAAAAGGTTATTGAGCAAAAGAACATATTTCTTATTTTGCATTTTATTCATATAAGCGTTGGCATTCCCCGCAACAGCCAATCACAGGAAGGTATTTGTTGGAAACTCTGCCTTCAACAAAGTTGATTCCTATTGAACTCTAAGAATAAATTCGTTTAATAAACGAGTATTTAGGGTCAAGCTACAGATGAACATTATAGGATAACGGTATTTTAGCTTGCAGCTTCGTTAGACAGAATCCCTTAATTTTAAAAATAAAAAACTAGAAAGCGTATTTTTATTGCTAACGTTTCGAGAAATAAATCTCAGCCTAGAAACTCTTTGTTGACATTCACACAACAGCCAATCACAGGAAGGAATCAGCTATAGGTGCCATCCACTTAATTTGTGGTTTTGATGTGGCACGTTTGGCCAAGTCATCCGCCACCTCGTTGAGGTGGCGGATGACTTGGCCAAACGTGCCACATGAAAACCACAAATTGACATTGAATGTGAATTCACAATGAGACAAATAAGAAGCAAAATCAGAAATATTCAGGCACAGGCAGGAGTGGAGAGGAGAGGGATAATGTATGAGAGAAGTCTAACCATGCAACACTACATGTATGTGAGGCAAAACACCCATTTCACTTATGGTAAAAGGAGAAATGCTTGGAGTGACTCTGTGTACATGCGGCTCAGGCTTGGGTACAAATATTACTGGGAATATGGGATAGGTGTTCATGATAATGACACGAAGTGTAAACTATGTGGTATGTTAAGGTCTCACACCCTTGCCCATTATATTCTTGATTGTCCGTTGATTAATGTATATAGAAACACTGAGATAAGGACTGTTCCTGAACAAATAGCCTGGATGTGTCACAAAGGAAAGGTTGATGATATTCTTGAGAGATATAAGAATTTTGCACCAAGACTGTAATATTTTGTTGAATTATCCGTATAACTAGGTCATAAAAGTATTTGTGTACGTCTGATACCATACTACTTGTGAAGGAGGAAATGTACATGTTTATCTCTCAGAATGTTTGGTAACAGGTTTATTGTTTGTGATGTGTGTCTATGTATGTACTAACACGTTGTACTGAACGGGGTGAGAATAGCTTGAGCTACCTCATCCCTTTGTGTGTATTTTACCTCAATAAACTTATTTCAATTTCAATTTCAATTTCAATCCACTTAGTAAATCATCTTAGTTCAGCCCACCAGTCCTGCTTATGGAATTCTGCTTTAGCTTTAATTTACCCAAAAAAGTGAAGTGTTAATTATTTAAAGTGTTAATAAAGTGATAATTAAATATTGCAGGATATAACAGATGTTATATAAAAATGGGCTGGCTACCTAACTTGTGACGTCATTATTGGGGGGTTGCCTTGACACAAATAATGATACGCTGCTCTGCCCTCTTATTCCAGTAAATTATTCAGTTAGATGGAGATTTCTGTCGGGTGCAAAACAGAAATTGTTGTTCTTTTTCACAACAACCTTGTTGTTGTGCACAAGGACCTATTTCTTAGTTTAAATTTTATTCATAAAATGAGTGCTGGTATTCCCCGCAACAGCCAATCACAGGAAGGTATTTCTGGAAGCTCGGCCTCCTTATGGACTCAGCACATCGCTCTAGCTCACGGCTCTGTTTCATCTCTTGTATATACAAACTATGACTTTTTTAGATCACTGTTATAATTAATAATATGAGATATAAAAGTTTTCACATAAAATGGGTAAATTCTGGCATTAAATGGACTTTGTCTGGTATACATACAAACATACACCAATTTATTACCATTCAACCATTATTAATTTCAAATGTAATGTATACTGTCTAGTTTTTTCCTCTCACAACATGGCTGGCCGAGCCCTATTTCAGTTTCTCCTTGACTCCCCAGACCTCTCCTTACTGACGTCGCCAGGTTTGGGAACTCGGATAGACCCGCTAAATGGGCATACTTCAACACTCGATCTTTGCATTGGAAGAGGCCCCTTCACGATGGCGCAGATATGGACCGGGCCGTACCTGGGTAGTGATCACCTGCCCATCGTCATCTCCTTCGGGGGCACTGTTCGTCTTACTCTGACCTCCCAAAGATCCAAATGGATCTTCTCGGAAGAGGGGTGGCTTGGCTATGAGGCGGATGACTGGTCGACCCTTCCCCCAGTTACGGCAGATCTGCATGGGTCAGCAGATCCTCTCTCCGAGTCCCTCTTCAGTGTATGCTCTCGGCATTTCAGGAGGACTAGTGGCCAGACAACCAATCCTTCCCGCCGTGGGGCACCGTGGTGGACTCCTGAATGTCGGCAGGCAGTACTGGACCGGCGACGTGCGTGGAATTCGTGGCGGCGCCACCCTACTCCACTGCAGCGGCAGATCTTCCGCAGGGCGGACGCCAGGTGTAGACGAACAGTCCTCCTTGCCAAACGCAAGGCCCGGGCTGATTACTGTGCCTCTCCGATTCGACTCCTTCTCTGCGGGAGCCTGGGCCTTTGTTCGTAAGATGACAGGTAGGTACTCCCGGCCTTCCATCCCACTCAGAGACCCCAGGGGTAAAGGGGGCCTGGGGGAAGTACAAATAGCCGAACTTTTGGCTAACCACTTTGAGGATATTTACCGTTCCCTGCTCCTTTCTGGGAGTTCAATAGGATGGGGCTTCTGACAGGGTATAGGACTAGCTCAGGACCTGGATCGCCCATTTACAGCTGTTGAGCTGAAGGACGCTCTGTCACTCTCTAGGTTGGGCACTATGCCAGGGATAGACAACGTCCAATATGAATATGTTCGGAGGGCACCCAAGAACCTTCAGTCCCACCTCCTTTACTTCTACAACGCCTGTTGGTTTTCTGGTGTCTTCCCTGCCCCGTGGAAACACGCCATTCTTCTACCATTGGCCAAGTCTGGGAAGGATCCGTCTGTCCCGACTTCATATCGGCCCATAAGTTTGCTTCTATGTCTCGGGAAACTGATGGAACGTCTTGTTCACACCCGGCTACAATGGGTGGTGGAAACCTCAGGTCTCCTACCTGAGGGTATCAGTGGATTTCGGTCGGGAAGAAGCACGATGGACTGCCTCCTCTCCTTGGAACATCGAATAATGGACACTTATCGCCGGAGAAGAGTGCTCCTTGCAGCATTCTTCGACATCAAGAGTGCATTTGACTCTGCTTCTCATTCTGCTGTCCTTCAAAGTCTGGCTCAACTAGGTCTCTCGGGTCCGGCGTTGAGGTGGTTCCAAAACTATCTACAGGGCCGCTCATTCAAAGTGGCGGTTGGTGGAGTCGTCTCTACGTCCCGCCCTGTCTCGCGTGGTGTCCACCAGGGAGCGATTCTCAGCCCACTATTATTCTCTATTCTTCTGTCTGATCTCCCGGTATTCCGGGGGGTCCAGGTTTTAGCCTATGCCAATGATGTAACCCTCGTGGCGGATGGTGCCACTCTCCTAGAGGCACAACGCTTCCTGCAAAATGCCGTGACTGTGTTCTCAGCAACTGTGCTGGGGAAGGGGCTCTCCATTAACTCTGTGAAAAGTTGCGTCATGAGTTTCACCTGGACCCGCTTACCAGACCAGCCAGTGGTGACCGTCAGGGGCTGTTGTCTCCCGATCGCTACGGAACACAGGTGGCTGGGGGTCGTTCTAGATAGCCCTCGGCTGACGTGGAGGCATCATGTGGATTACCTTCGGGCCTCATGCCTTCGTCGCGTGAACATCATGAAACGGGTCTCTGGTGCGGCATGGAGAGCTTCACGGGAGTCGCTCCTAGCTCTCTACAAGGCCTTCATTCGTAGCAGGATCATGTATGCGAGTGAAGTCTATGGCTCAGCAGCAGCATCTGTCTTGGCAAGGCTGGATCCCATTCAAAATGGTGCCCTTCGCTCAGCGCTAGGAGCTATGCCCTCCTCGCCAGTTCTTTCTCTCCATGCCGAGTCGGGGCTATGGCCCCTGAGCTTTCAACATCTTCTCGCCCACTGCCGCCAATTTAAACGGATAGTGCGTCTCCCTGCTACCAATCCACTTACTCGCCTCCAGCTCGAGGCTAACTGGTGGAATGTGCCGGCTGGACACTCCAGACGTCGTCAGTTCCTTTCGTCGTCCGGGCCTTGGATGCATATTCACAGTTTTCCCTTCCCGTCCTTGTACTCACTCCTGGCCCGATCATCTCACTGGTGCCTCCGTGTGCAGAAGAGCTCATTCGGGTTTCTGTCGACTTTTCCAAGCCTCCTCGTCGGAAGAGAGATTTAGAGGGTTTGGACCCTTTAATTTTTGCAGACCTACGAGCCTCCTTATACTCTGGATACTTAGAGGTTTACACGGATGGGTCCCGCAAAGATCAGCCACCATCTACATCTGCGGCAGCATACTTTGCTCCTTTTTCTTTCTGTCAGACGTGGAAACTCTCCCCTGCTCATTCGTGCCTGGCCGGGGAACTGTTTGCAATCTTACAAGCCTTACGACTCCTTCGACAAGTTTCAGGACCCTCTGCAGTGGTTTTCTACGTGGACTCAGTTACAGCCTTACATCTGATATCATCTCGGCGTTCACGAGTCTATCGTCATACTGTGTCACAGAACCGTGGAGAACTGCTGTCATACTCTGGTACTCCAGGTTGGTCCATCTATCTCCAATGGGTTCCGTCACATGTCGGTATTAAAGGCAATGAGGTGGCCGACGCAGCAGCAGGGATGGCGCATGCTCTCCATGACTCTACAAATGTGCCTCTAGACCTTTCTGAAATTCTCTCGCAACTCCGGGCGGCTTGCCTCGCGAGTTGGGAGGCAATGATGGAGCCAGCACTCAGGTCCTCCTCTTTGGCGGGTCTCCGGGAGGATTCCTCCCCGCGTCCATGGACTCGTCATCATTCTCGACTCCTCGACACTGCCATCACTCGTCTCCGGATTGGGCACACTTGCCTGGCCGCACATCTCCATCGTCCACGGCTGGTAGATTCCCCATATTGCCAGTGGTGTCCGACCCAGGAGGATACAGTGGAGCACCTTCTACTTCACTGCCCTCGATTTCATAGCGCTCGCGTCAGACTACAGAGTGTCATTCGTAGGCTGAATATTCCCCGCCTCACAGTTCCCGTTCTCCTTGACGGGGCAGGTGCGAGAGACGAAGACGTCCGTCATGACATCCTTTGCCATACCTTCCGCTTCATCCGTCATGTCCGTGGCCTGAAGAGACTGTAAAATTTGTGGCCTGAGGAGATTGTAGGGTCTATGGCCTGAAGAGACTATAGGGACCCCATCCCTCCGCTATTTCCCGGTATCGGGCAGCCGGGGCGCATCCGATCCCACGATCGTCGTCGCCCCTAAATCAACACAACAACACCACTTTTGTCAAGCAGTGTCCACTTTCGCCCAGCGGTGGCGCACGAGAGCGTCACCAAGTTTTGTTCTGTTTCCGCATGGGTGACACTGGCTGGCGTCACGAGAAAAAAATATTTGTATAAATTCCAATTTCTATCCGATCTACTTGGGGATAGTTTACAAATGTTCGCCATGAAATTTACGTTTTCTCTAATAGCCGAAGAGCTTATTTGGGAGAACGACATGGCAGTGAATCATCGTGGTAAAACAATTGTATTATTTACACGACGCGTATAATCGACGTAGTTTTTATATTTGTTGCCGGTCGAACGCATCTTTATGTGACGTTTTATACTTATGTTCTTCTAGAACATTCTATTGCAAACACATTGGTACAAAAATGAAATACGTACATTGAAAAATAATGTCAGGACAGTGAATTGAATATACACTTTTCAATGCGGGTTTCGCCGATATGCCGCCGCGGGAAACACTTAGGCCACTTCCCACACTCTTGTGGGTGGGCTGCGACATTGATTCTATATTTATATGCATACGTCCGTGTAGAGAATTTTATTGCGATTTCAGTGATATCAAAATTAACCCTGTAGGACACGTGTGGAGTTGACAACCCTGAAAATAGTAGAAACATTTCGTTGCTGTCTGGCGCTCACGGCTAGTGATAGACGTAGTTTTTTATTTGGTGCTGATCTAACTTATGGTTTGGTGACATTTTATACTTATGTTCTTCTAGAACACTCTATTGCGAGCCCATCGGTACAAAAATGAAATACGTACATCGAAAATTAACGTCAGGACAGTGACAAGAGTATATTAAATGTTGCCGCTCGATCGCCCGAAACGCTAATCGCACTTGGGGAAAGTTTTTTTTTTCATTCGCCGTAACGCGAAATTGATATATAATTATTAAGTTAACTAATTAGCACTAACTACACCAGCTATAATCCTTTCCCTATTTACAGGTACCATTCTTTCCAGCCTGGTTGGAGGAAGCTGAGGTGTAGTCACCGAATATAAGCAAGTGAATTGCGAATAGCCGACAGTACAATTTCCACAGTGAGTCAGATAACTCCAGTAGAGCAGACGCTTTGGATTTACCTCACCTCTTCAACCTCAAGAATGTAGTGCTTGGCGTGTACAGTTCTAATCGACCCCAAGACACTACAGCTTCAACACAGAGCAGACAGCAGACTATACGACCGCATCGAGCTACAACGCTCTCGCTCCCCGAGTTCAGACACTCACAATTCCCCATCGAGCCGTCACGCTCTCCCACATAGAGCTCCGTGACTCCGGCCTCACTAAGCTCTCTGCTCCAAGCTCCGTCTCAACGTCTATGACAATGCCACCAACCGACTACTGTAATCAAGACTACTAAATAAATATGAAAGTCACTAAACACTGTGTATCTAATGTACCCAACAACGTAACATAATCGTACGTTACATTAGTGACCCCGGAAAGTTGCGACGATACCCAGCCACGACGGACTTCAACATGGACTCTCACTGGACCGCTACTGCTGCTGCTGCTGCTTGCTGTGGACCGCTGCCACCTGTCATGGAACACTGCCAACACCCTCGCCACAGCTATGATTTTCATCGTGATCATCTCTGCATTTGCATCTGCTACAGCTTGCTACACCACGATCGTTACTTATTCATCTGGCAGCTTCATCATGTGGGATCTACAGTCTGTCCTCCTGACTCTCCGTCGCTGCCAGGGCACTGCTTGTCCTACAGGGACGCCCACGACAGCTGCTCTGTCATCAGATTCATCTACACGTTCACTGCATTCTGCTACGCTGCCGACTCAAGCACCTTGCGCAGTACAGGACCTACAGCTTGCGTTTCCAACTCTTCGTCGCCTCCAGGACAATTCAGCTCTAGCAGTGATTCCCTCGTTGTCGTAACTACGTGCCTACATTACCTCCTATTGTCTGGTGCCCGAGCCCATCCGCCCCGGATCTAAATGCTCCACCAGCGACCCAAGGACGCAACAATCATGCACATTCTACTCTCCTGCTACAACGAGCTTGTCCACACACAGCCTGCATCTTTTGGTACCAGACTACATGTTCCACAGGGACCCAGGGAACAGTAGCCTCGTACTTTTTGTTGTATTGCTTTTCTTTCATTCCCTGGCAGGGGGGAGTCCTGTAGCGAGGGGCATATGCGTCAGGGGCGTCAACATACAGTAAAAACTTGTGTAAAAAAGATGTTTTTGTGTAAAAAACAAAGAGTAAAAAACTTGGTGGCGAGTATAAGGTAAACCTTATACTCGCTCAAGTTTATCATTATCTTAATGGCTTACCTAATTAGCACTATCAACACAACTTATAATCCAATCCCTATTTACAGGTAACATTCTTTCCAGCCTCATTGGAGGAAGCTGAGGTGTAGTCACCGAATATAAGCAAGTGAATCGCGAATAGCCGACAGTACAATTTCCAAAGTCAAGAATGTAGCACTCGGCGTAGGCAGTTCTAATCGACCCCAAGACGCTACAGCTTCGACACAGAACAGACAGCAGACTACGACCGCATCCAGCTACATGCATGTAGCGCCACGCTCTCCCACATAGAGCTCCGCGACTCCGGCCACACTCAGCTCTCTGCTCTGCTCCAAGCTCCGTCTCAACGTCGACGACACTGCTGTATCCAGGACTACTAAATAAATATGAAACCCCACAAAACACTGTGTATCTAATCTACTCAACAACGTAACATTAATCTTACGTTACACTGTGAATAATTCAATTTCTCCCACCCTACCCATCAACATTGGTGTTCCTCAGGGCAGCATACTTGGCCCTCTCCTCTTTCTCATCTACATTAATGACCTTCCAAATGCCTCCCAACACCTCAAACCAATTCTATTTGCTGACGACACAACCTTCATTTACTCCAGTCCTGACCCCCTTGCCCTAAATGCCACAGTGAATACTGAACTAAATAAAGTCCATCTTTGGCTAACTGATAACAAACTCACCCTTAACATTGACAAAACTTTCTATATTCTGTTTGGCAATAAATCCTCAAATCAAATTAATCAATGAATAAACAATACCCAAATTAGTAACAAAGTTGATAGTAAATTCCTTGGCGTCTTCATCGATAATAAGCTGAATTTCCAGGGACACATTCTAAATATAGCAAAAAAAGTTTCTAAAACTGTTGGGAATCTTTCTAAGATCAGATATTATGTACCACGCCCTGCCCTGGTTACTCTCTATTACTCCCTTATCTATCCATATCTCAACTATGGTATTTGTGCTTGGGGTTCTACTACCCAAAATCATTTACGTCCTCTAATTACTCAACACAAAGCTGCTATTAGGACAATCTCTAACTCTGGCCCCAGACATCACTCGGTACCCCTACTCAAATATCTGAATATGTTAGATATTAAGTCACTGCACATTCTCTCATGTGTACTCTAAATATATAAAACTCTGAACTGTAATGTCAATCCTGACCTTAAAAGCTTCCTAGAAGGTTGTAACAGAACCCATGAGCACCACACCAGAAACAAATACCTATTTGATCAACCAAGCGTGTGGGAACCGACCTGTGAGATTTATATTTATTTAATTTATATGAATTTATATTTACGTTAATTTATATACTTCGATAGCAATTTGTATAATGATAAGTGGACTGTATTTCTGCAATAATCTCATAATCTCACAAATCGATCCTCTACACATTAGGGGGGGGTTTAATAGTTTATATATATATGCAGCCAATCAAACTGCAGTAATAGCTACATACATTGATGAGGTTCCTTATCTTATAGTACAGCAGGTTAGTCCACCAGGTATAACTAGGGTGTAGACACCAAATTATCCTCTTTGAGGTAGCTTCCATATCACCCAGTAACTGGTGCACAAATCTTGCATCCTCGTCTTGACCTGTCAAAAGTGCGCTAGCTGTGAAGCCAGATACCTATATATGACAAGTATATCAGAGAAAACAGTACATGGAACATGAAGACCTGGCTTAATTACCTTTAGTTTGAGGCTTCCATGTGATCTAACCGGTTCACCCTATATAATGACATTAATGGCCACCAATGATAAATAATGGGTTTCGGAAAGAACACTTAACTTGATTTGTTGACAGCGTGTTGACAGATGGTACACCTTTGGTATCCATAACACTACGTCCAAGTAAAATTAACAGGAGCCGAATTTGCTCCCGTGTGAGCCTCTGGTCTCGTATATCAATGGCTGCCCCCCTTCCCCACTGACGCCTGGCCTACTTGTCCAGATGTCAATAAGTGATAGAAGGGTCACATTTACTCTACTTTAATATTGATAATTAAGTTAATTTATATAAGATGTTTTTATGATGGTAAAGTCCAAAGACTAATGTATTTAAGAATAATTCCCAGCAAAATAGCTGGTGAATTATAATAGTATGTGGTGATGATATCCCGTTTTCTTTAGATGGTAATTCCACTACAAGTTACGTTTTCTATGGGTAACTTGTTTATACAACACAGCTATTATCTGTATGATTATTAAATGGTGTCGGATTTTCCGACATAATTCCCCAGGGGCTGCTCACGGGTCGAAGTCCTCTTTAGAACAGACGAACACCGATACTC